TACCAATCTACTCGCTCTGGAGAGCAGAGTTCGCTGCTTTTAGATGTTGTCTCCAAAGTCTCCAGTAGCAGAAAAAACTTGCTAGATTTGGCGCTAGGAGCTTTTTTTGACATCAAAGTGCTAGAGTGGTCTGAAAAGTGGCTAAATATAGCGACTAAAGCGCTAAGTTAGCATGTCTCTTTGGACCTTTATGAACATGTGCAGCAAATAGACTGATCCAATATGGTGGACACTGAAGGGGGGGCTGAGACACAATATTATAAGCGTTCTGATGGCATTTTAATGAAAGGATTTTTATCAAAAAGAAACTTAATGTGCACAAATAAGGAATAGCTGTATTAAACATACATGTAAAATGACTTTTATGGGGCCCCCAGGAACTTGGGGCCCTAGGCACCTGCCTCGTATTCCCTAATGTTAAATCTGCCCCCTTTATTAAGCATGTTCAGCTTTATAAACTTCTGGCGATGATAAAGACTGACTGAGGCCACAAGTCATGTACAGAATAAAGCCTGTGCATTAGTATTATCCCTCCCTACCATGTGGGGTCGCACCCTTGTCCAGCTTTGGATCGCTTCTTTTTAAAGACACATTTCAAAACACAAACTTTAAAATAATTTTTGCCTTGATGCTGAATCAGATCAGTGTAGACGGGGCCCAGTGGACTGATACCTGCTTTGGTTGATTCAGCAAACCCAATTAAAACTTGGAGAATAACGACAATGAGTGGAAAGTCACTACAAGACTTAGATATTTTGTATGATTTTAGGACTGTGATGATTCCAGGTTTTTAACCCTCACACTGTAACGGAGCGTCAGGATGTGCCTGAGTATTTGCTCTATATTATCTAACAAAAGGAGGAGGCGCCTTAAAGGGTTTCTAACTAAACCTTTAATCTTTATACACTTTGTTTTCATTTAATGGTTTTGTGTTTATCTAAGCTGTAGTGTAATTTTAAAGATTGTAATAAAATAAATGATTTCTGTGGAATTTTCCTGACCTTTTATTCTTTTTTTTAAATGATGCTTAATTTAGACCAACTAAACAGAAGTGAATCAATAAAAATTGTCTGAAAATATTTTTGTCAGATGCTTTTTTTTTTTTTTAGAAATCATGCATGTTTAAGGTTAAAACATCAGCCTTTTAAAATGCATTTACTGTGTGTAGTTGGCTAATTCTAATTTTGCGTATTTCTTGTTCTTAAATGAAAAAGAATAACAGCTGGTTTGTGATTGACGTGTAATAAAACTATTAACAATTTACATTGATACAGAAAATATCCAAAATCTTTATAAGTGAGCTCCAGCTGTGCCCTGCCAGAATGTGAGCAGCTGATCTATTTATTGCTTTTATTAGGTTTTGAAATATTTTGTTAAATAAAAATCCAAGGAACAAAAACTTAAGTTGAAGAATTTCAACAAGTTTTTTTGTTCAGCATTTTTCTCCAGTGGTTTAACCTCTTCTAGAATCTCCAAATTAAAAATGTTGCTTTAGAGCAGAAGTTCCTGAACTTTTCTCACTGCCAAATATTAGGATTACAAAAAGTTAACTCTGTCCCCAGCTAACTTTTTTCAATAATTTAACAAAGAAAAGTATATTAAATATTGCAATTGCTTCTTTAAATCACAAAACTACAGCCTTTAAAGTGCTGTTACTTTTTTTTTTTGCCGTTTATGTAACAATTCAACATTTCTATCAATACATTTGACAATATCGATTCAAATATCATAAGGAATCACAGGTAGAAAAAATGTTTTTTTTTTTGTACCCCAAATGGTTAAATTTACAAATAAAGGAGGTAAAAAAAAAAAATTAATAGGGTCAAAAAAACAAACAAAATCAATTGACCTAACAAATTACACATATATAATGGATAATCAGACCATTACATTCAATAGGGGTAACTAACATTAGAACTACAACAATTAGTGTGATTCAGTTTATTTATACACTCACCGGCCACTTTATTAGGTACACCTGTCCAACTGCTCGTTAACACTTAATTT